CAAAAAAAAAATTCTTCAGATATATCCATTTTTACATAATCAATAAATTGCATGTATCCTAAGCAGATGCTCCTGTTAGCAATATCTGTAGATTCAACGATTTGCAATGAAAACCAAGGAGAATTTTTAATGTTGATAGTTAACTGCTCCTGAATATCATTAGCTATCAATATAGTCCTATTACAAATTGTATCATTTTACATAGGTATTTCCTTAATTTTGTTTGACACAAACAGTTCAAATAGTTCTTTACAAATATTAAACATGGCAGGTTTTAATAATTCTTCGGCTATTGTAAATGGTTTTTTTGCTTTAGCAATGTGAAGAGCTGCAATAAATGAAGCTTTTAATAATTCTTTATCTTTAGTAGTTCTCACATTTATGAGCGTCTTTTGATTTCGTCTTTTTTTCTTATAAAAAAATTCCTCGTTTTGTTTTTATATTGTTTGTGCTTAGAATTTAAATGCCTTGGCAATTTATTTGGTTTCATTGCTTCATTGGAGAGAACTACACTGCAAATGACACATTGTGGTTTTGTAATTCCTTGAACTTCTATGCTTACGAACCCATATTTGATATAATCACGATCATATTTTCTAATTTTAATGTTACTTAATTTCATACCTTTAGTTTTAGGACTTGTGGTTTTTTCCATTGCACTTTTTACTGTATCATTATTATCGGAACTTTCACTAGGATTTTCGTCACTATATTTTCTGTTTGAAAGTCCCGGTCCGTAATTATATATATTAAAAAAATTTTCTAACGTTCCTTTCTGTTTTTTGCTCATTTTTATGGGTTAATTATAAATAATTAAAACTAAGCACATAATATAAGAAAGAAATGCACTATTATTCGATCCAAAGTTGATGCTAAAACCAGGGATGCACAACCTTTTCTGAAGAAGGGCTGGGTTAAGATTAAGTTTATGGACCTGGGGGCCAGACCATTTTACAACCCTCTTTGTTGACACAAGGAGTCTAATTACTTTGCATAGTGTTGATAATCACAGGAAGTTTATGGCCTGATGCAGTTTGAAATAATTATTAAATTGGAAACTTTTTAGTGCAACCGGCTTTCTTTTAGTCGTATGACCCTATTCCAGCTATAAATTTTCTTGGTCCAGCATAAAAGTTTTTCCTATTGTTAGTCTATGGAGAGACTTTGTTGTAAATAATTGGTTGTTATAGTTTTTGTACATTCCTTTTTGAACTTTGATTGGTATTTTCTAGTTTGAATGAAATTAGGTTGACAAATAAGTGTCTTTTCAGAAAAGATTTGACTATACCAATCAGAACCTAAAATGTAAAAAATCGTTATTTTCATGGTTTTTCAGTGCTATTTTCACTTATTTTTATGTTATTTGACTCTATTTAGATGAATAAGCGCGTTTTCCAGAGCATAAAATTGAAAATTTTCCTCCAAAATAGAAACTTCCTGATAACATCGGAAATGATGTTCTAACACCATCATTTTATTCTATTTCATTCTTCCAAAAATCGTTATAATACTATGTATTAGACTTAAAATATTTGATATCTAAACCAGAAAGTGTGTTGGCTAGAAATAGAACTTCAACCCCCAATTTCTCACCTCAGGAAAAGTCATAAAACAGTTCAGTGCTAATTACTTTATGAAAGGGAAAATGTTTTATACTAAAACACCCACAACTTGTGGTAAAGATTTTGGCTACTACTAAGCCTACTATTTTTCCTAATTATTTTTAAGATTCCAAGCATTAATAGTTTCTTAGAATTACTTTAAAATAAAAGAAGTAAATACTGCGGTGTAAGTAGCATATATGCATTTATTTCTTCTGTACTAACAAAACTGTATGTAGGAAAAAATAAAAAATAAATAAAAAAACTAAATAGGAAAACTTTAACTTTATCTTTCTTATTTCACTTTCCAATACAATAATCGGTTACACATCAATTTTCTTTTTATTATATTCTGAAGGAAATTTTTCATAATTTGGCAGCCCCCGGCAAACTTCTTATGGACCCCCAGCGGGCCACAGCCCCCTGTTAAGAATCACTGCTCTACTGTATAATTAAATGATAGAGCCAGATTATCTATTAGGCTAAAATTTGGCTAATTAATTACATAAATATTATGTAATATTTGTGTGAGTAAATAAGCCAAGTTTTAGCACAATAGCTCTACCATTTGATTATTAGTATAATTTGGGCTTGGTTTTCTATATATTAGTGTTGCAACAAATAGTATATTTGGCCTCAGGCTGAATACCGAATATTTGGCCGAATAGCCAAATATTCGGCCAAACTATTCAGCTTGATTAACCACGTACGAAAATTGGCACACAAACCGCATTATGGCAAGGACCCTGCTTTCTATTGGCCCACTGTCACTACGCTTCGCCAATCGCGTTAATTTTTGACAGTTCAGACAAGAGCGTCATGGCATTATGTGATAAATGATAAATGATGATATCAAATGTGGATAACAATGAAATGACCTACACATGTAAATAACGAAAGAAGAACAGAGAAGAACCGCTAAGTGAAAATGTGAAAATAAATATGAAATTGAGTTGATAACATAATCGAACAAGTCGAGGCAGCTTATTGGCATGAAATTCGCAGCCGTCAATGCCAAACAATTGTTGTANATTAAAGATGGCATAGCACAGCCAAGTACATCCCCTTGGGTCTCCCTTATTGTTATGGTCAAGAAAAAATGACCGGAGACCAGACTTTGTGTAGACTCCTTTATCAACAGCCAAAGATAATTGAAGTTCAAATATTCTGTACATAAATTTGATTCCTTTATCAACAGCCAAAGATAATTGAAGTTCAAATATTCTGTACATAAATTTTCCAAGAAACCAATAGAACTCGCCCTCATTACGTTAGGCTTAACTTGTGCCTAATGGAGAATTTCAACATGGGATTGATTAATTTCAACATGGGATTGTCATTTATTAATTCTAATAATGTAAATATGAAAAGGTAAATAACATGACTATTTCTGACAAATTTCCATTACCGATCATTTCAGATTTATTGAATGCATTAAATAACTTACAATACACAACTACTCTGGATCTGTCATCCAGCTACTGGCAGATACCAGTAAAGAAAATGGATCAGCCAAAAACAAGTTTCATAACTAACAATAGATTGAAGTTTTGGTAATGCCATTTGGCCTAAAGAATGCACCTGCAAATTTCCAAAAAACTCGTGAATATGATCCTACATGGAATTAAAGGTTCACTTTGCAAAGTTTACTTTGATGATATTATTTTCTCTTCAACTTTTTCAGACCACCTCTCACATTTAGAAGTATTTCAACGATTAGCAAAAGTTGAACCAACCATCAAACTAACAAAGACCACTTTTGCTGAAACGAAGTTAAATTCCTTGCATAAAGGGTCAACCACAAGGAACTGGCTATAGAGCAAGATATAATTCAAGCTGTTTAAGACTTTCCTAGACCACGAAACATCAAAGAGTTAAGTACTTTCTTGGAATGTTCAGTTGGTGTAGCTAGTTTTTGTTTTTATATTTTTCAATATATTTATTTTGTTTGTAGAAAATAAAGAAATAATTTTTAATGATACAATAGCCATGATTATTATTTTAAAAAATTTACGTTAGGCTTAACATCAACAAAAATTCAACCTGAAGCAACACGCAATGGAGAATTTCAACATGGGATTGATTAATATACAGTGGGTGATCGGTTAACGAACATAATCCGTTCCAAGACTTTGTTCGCTATCCAAATTGTTCGTTAACCGATTATCGATTTACCATAGGTTTTAATGGGAATTTAATTAATTCGTTCTGGAGACCGCCAGAAATAAAAAAATATATACTTTCTTACTACGTTTATTTATACGTAATAATAAAAATACATACATGCACAGTCTTGCGTTTTTATTAGTCATGTTTTTTCCGTTTGAAAGGGTTAAAGAATCTGTCTAATGTCGATTGCTTTCTCTCTTCTTCAGAATTTTTCGTAAGTAATTAATAGGATTGCAACTGTAAAAATCCCCAAGCCTCAACCTGGCTTGGGTGCCATTCTAAGACCGTTGTTCTGACATCTTCCCACTTCTTCAAAAGATCTTTAATAGCAAATATCAGCATTAATCCTCTTTTTCAGAAGAAAACATATCTTGCCGAGTTTCTTGGTGTTCTTCATTCAAGAGTTTTTGACATTCTTTTGTCGTCAGATCCATTTCAGGTTCCATTATGAACTCTTCTATGTTCTTTATTTCTCAGATGTGACTTTTGTTACTNCACTTATTTTTCGAAAAATAATTAAATGTATTCAAAATATTTATGAATTGGTCACTAATTTAAATAAATAAATAAATCTTACTTAGAATAAAAAGTATTTCAGTAAGAAATCGACAGAGATTTTTTAGATAAGGTCAAAAATATCAGATAAACTATAGAAAAAGTTACTTTTTATAATTGCAAAAACCTCATAAAACGTAAAATTTACAAAATTTAACGTCAAATTTAATTGCACGATAAGTTTAAATATAAATAAATATGTTTCTGCTACAATATATAGAGTATTTTTCTATGCTTTTTTGTCTTCAAAGTAAATAGTGCGTTTTATTGTGTATGTAAAGTTCGAAATTATAGCACAATATAATGCCAGAATAATTTGAAATTAACATGAAACTTCAAAAAGGTAGGCCTAATTATTTAGAATTTTGAAAGTTTTAGATTTGAAACAGATGTAGGCTATTTTTCAGAAGAAATGTTTATTACAGTTTTTAGCGTGTTTTAGTTAGTTTGTTTATTATTATATGGTTGTTTGGGAATATTCTGTACTGCGCGTCATCCTCCTTCATGTCTCGTTTGCATTTCGAACTGAGAAGACGTTTATCTTTTGCGCTTACTTTTTTTATCTTTGTGTGCATCAACATGGCCAAACGTTTTGCCTATAAAGATTTAGAAGGACTGTTAACATCCGAGGACTCATTTACCGAATCTGATGAGAATAGCGATTTTGGAAGTGACGATTTTGAGGAGAGTAGCGAGGACGAAATACGTGACGAACCCTCTACAACTTCAGATATGTGGTCCTTTACTCCTACAGCTGCTCGAGAACAGTTTCGTTTCACTGGAGTTCCGGGAGTTAATATTTCGATAACAGATCCCGATGACGTGATTGGAATTTTCGAGCAGCTGTCCAACGACAGGATAGTCGAACTTATAGCGGAGGAAACTAATAAGTATTCCGAAAAAAAAATACAAGAAGCTACAGATAGTCCTCTCGGTCTAAGAAAGAAGAGCCGGATGCGGAGTTGGAAGCCGACAATTCCTGGTGAAATTAGATTGTTAGAGGGGATGTTTCTCCTGATGGGGATTGTCAATAAGCCGACTATACAGTCTTTCTTCTCTACGAATTTTCTAATCAAAACCCCCATATTTAATGAAATAATGGTAAGAGATAGATTTTTATTGTTATTGTCATTTTTACATTTTACAAGCAATGAAAACAAAACCTCTAAACTGTACAAAATAGAACAATTGCTGGATCTGTTTAGATGTAGTTTCCGGTCTGCTTACACTCCATCGCGAAATGTTTCGATAGATGAGAGTCTCCTTCTCTGGAAGGGTCGATTATCTTGGAGAATATTTATTCCGATGAAACGCGCAAAATTCGGCATTGAAACTTTTTTAGTATGTGAAGCTAATACTGGGTATGTATATAATTTTATCATTTATACGGGGAAGGGGACCGAAATACCAATAAACTTAGACGATGTCGACCCTTCCAGAGAAAGTCACTCAACAAATATCGTGCTTTCGTTGATGGAGGAATTTCTAGACCAAGGGTATTGTCTAGGAATAGATAATTACTATACCAGTCCAGATAATTACTTATAGATTATCTCGCGTCCCATCATACGGATGTAATTGGGATGGTAAAAAAAATCGCAAAGATCTTCCAAAACAAGTAACATCCGCGAAATTAAAAAGGGGGGGAGACAATAGCTATGTACAGAAACAAAACAATGATAATGAAATGGAAGGACACCAAAGACATATATATAATGAGCACCACACACGACGACAGAATGATGACAATCAAATCGGGTTCATCTATAAAACAGAAACCTAAGGTCTGCGTCGACTACAAACATCATATGGAGGGCGTAGACCTTATGGACCAAAAGTTATCATATTATAATGTGGCCAGGACACACATAAAAAAATACTACATAAAAATATATCTAAGATTTTTAGATATTTCTGTTTTAAATTCTCATGTTATTCACAAAGAACTGGGGGGGAGACTATCTTTGTATGAGTTTAGATTAAAACTTATCCAGCAATTGTTCGACAAGTACAGAGAGAGTACTCAGGGGGTCAGAAAAAAATCTATTATTCCAACTTCGGCTTCCATTGACCGTCTCAGTGGTCGGCATGGCCACTTTCTTGATTTCTATGAACTTAACAAGGCTGGCAATAAAAAACGCAGGGCTTGCGTTGTTTGCAGCGCAAGGCAAAAAAGAACGGACGTTTCATTTTATTGCAAACAATGTAATGTCGCCCTTTGCCCTACAAAATGTTTTGAAGATTATCACACAAAAGAAAATTTCGTGTAGGGCACTTGTATATATATTTTTTATTTCTGTTATTATGATATATTATCATCATGTTTTTATTATCTTGTATATATTTTTTTATTTCTGTTATTATTGTATATTATCATCATGTTTCTATTATCTTGTGTATAACTTTTATTTTTCTTATTGTATGTATTTATCTTGTATATAATTTTTCTAATCATATTTTGAATTTTTTATTATTTTTGTCAATAAATTAAAACATCAAATTACTGTTTTGTTTTTCTTTTTTTAAAAATAAGTAAACATGAATTACAAACTAATAGAACATCTCCATTGTCATCTGTCAATCAAATTTCTGTAAGCACCTGGAGAATAACTTCAGAGGAATGAAAAGCTGTGATTTGTTTACTCTAAAAAATAGTAGTAGTCAATCAAAGTAAAAATAAGTCAATTACAACTTTATAAGGCGTTTATAAAAATCATCTTAGAACCAATTGCTTCTAAAGTATCTTCTATAAAGTAACAACAGGAAGTATTGAGTTTTGCGGGGGGGTGTGGGTTTTCAGTGAGTAATGGTCAAGACAAGTTCTTTTCTAAACAATGCTTAGTAAACATTATTTCTATATTATTTTGATGATTATTGCAGTAATCGACTATACAACGCAAATTTGCAAGCAATTGCTTACGTATTTTCTCTTATTACGTAACGGCGAAAATTTGACTTTGCCCTCACGTATACATAAACAGTTCTGAGTAAAGTTTCTGTTTACAATGTACTCTGTCTCCCTATCTGACTAACTGCGGGGAGTGGTAAGTGGCTGGGGTATTTTTAGGTCATGACCTAAAAATACCCGAGCCACTTCCTTACCCCGCGGTTAGTCAGAAAGGGAGACAGAGTACATTGTAAACAGACTTATTACTGTTTATGTATACATAACGGTCAAGTCAAACTTTCCCCGTTATGTAATGAGATATACTTTTATAAGAGTGAATATTTGACACTTTTTACATATTTTTTCAACGCTTTATATAATAATACCCTATAATAAATGACTAGTTAATTTTTCTTGCGATTTCGCAATATCCGGAAGTAATGAGTTTCCCGGAAAATTTTTCAGCNTTACTGTTTATGTATACATAACGGTCAAGTCAAACTTTCCCCGTTATGTAATAAGATATACTTTTATAAGAGTGAATATTTGACACTTTTTACATATTTTTTCAATGCTTTATATAATAATACCCTATAATAAATGACTAGTTAATTTTTCTTGCGATTTCGCAATATCCGGAAGTAATGAGTTTCCCAGAAAATTTTTCAGCTGGAAGCTTTCGATAAAATATCTTCTTGTCTAAGTAGAGTCAAATAACATGAAAACTTGTAGAATTACGCTCTAAAATAATGAATATAGCTATTTTTTAACGTTTGTTTACATAATGACTTCAATCACGTGGATTGGTTCTTCGCGGGAAAATCCAGACTAGATGGTTCTAAAAAAACTCTTCATTCGTTAAAGTTAAATCAGTCATAATAGAAATTACCAATTAGATGTAAAAAGCGTAGAAACAAAAGTTTTCAAGCCAATTAATAGCAAGAACGTCTTCCATAGACTTACTATAGAGAGATGGAGCTTCCCGGGAATATTTCTTGCTAGATAGTTTTCAAAACATATTAATACAATTAAATATTATCGAATTAGCTAATTTAATGTCTTAAAACGTTAAATTAGTTAATTAGAGCTAAAAAACGATTTAAAAAGCGAATTTATTGTGATTGTTTACATTTTACTTCTAAAGTTGGAGGCAAGACTTTTCGCGGCAATTTTTCCTTTCACAAGTCTGTGATTAGTTACAGTAATGTCAACAAAGACAGAAGATAGCCAATAAAACTTTAGAAGGAGTTTCCCTTTGATTGTGTTCAACCAACTGTCTACTTAACTTCGAAGATTTACTGTAAATAGTAGGGGAGTGTTTTTCCCGAAATATTTATGGCCCAGGGGTGGTGACAAAACGCTTATTGGCTTAAACAAAGTCAATCGACCTACAAAGAGCGAATCATAGCTAAAATCGCTAGAAAACTCGAATATAACGCAAATTATTCAATTTTTTTATTAAAACCGCGGAATCGCGGGATCAGCATCACATAAATAATAGGTGGTCACGTGATCCCGCGATAACGCGGTTTCCGCAGCTGTAGAGTTAATTTTATGGATTTTATCCCAGACTGCTTTTGAGCTGGTGGAAGGTGTTATTTATGTTAGAAACATACTTCCTCCAAAAATTTCTTTGGCTTTCCCTTCTTATTCTTCTGGCATTTGCCTTCGCTTTTTGAAAAGCAATCAAATTGTTAGCTGTGGGGTATCTTCTGAAAATCCCCCATGCTTTCTTTTGTGCTTTGAATGCTGCCTCGCAATTCTGGTCCCACCATGGTTTCAGATGCTTTGGATACCTAGTTGATGTTTTTCCCATTGTTTTTTCGGCTGCCTGAATAATACTAGAAGTGACAAATTCAACTGCATCATTGATATCAGCAGTATTTACCATTTCCTCAGTGATGTCAGCCAAAGAGGAGAATGCAGGTCAATCTGCCGTTTCAAGTTTCCAGCATGGTGGACGAGCTGTTTCACAGCTTTCTCTGCCTCAATATTTTAGAAATATTGGGAAGTGGTCGTTAGAGAGTGGATTAGATCCAACCTCCCATGTAAATGCTGAAAACAGGTTTGGACTTCCTAAGGNAAATCCTTGCATAGATTGATTCAACTGATTTAGAATTGTAAAAATATCTGCCAGATACGACAGTTTAGCAACCCAATTATTGTCATCAAGATAGCGTGATAGGCTGGATTTTTTATCTTTTAAAAAAAGTTCAACTTCCTCAAATAAACGATTAAAGATTTTTCCTCGTGAGAGCCATCTCACTTCTGTGTGAAATAGGAGAGAAGTATTATCTGCACCAACTTCTTCACAAAAATTTGAAAATAATCTTGAATTTAGTGCATTTCCTTTTATGAAATTTATAATTTTTACTGAAATCATCATAACTTCATTCAATTCTGTACTCATTTCCTTGGAAGCTAATTGTTCCCTATGAATGAAACAATGAGTAGTTATTATATTTTCATGCGCAATATGTTTTATTCTTGATGTAACACCCTTATAAAAACCAGTCATAGAGGCAGCACCATCTGTGCAAANGTTTGGACTTGCTAAGGATAAATCAATGGCAGGTGAATGTTCTTGTTGGGGCATTAAAGTATGTCACTTCTCCTGTATTAAATAAATACTGTTGCTGATTGCCAATAAATCTTTCAATAGCCCTGCCCCGACGATTAATGTCAAGACTGCCCCACATCGATTTGTAACTATTGAAATCACCTAGTAACAGGTTTAGTGTAAGATTTCTGTTTTATATAGTAAAATATAAACAACTGTTCTCTCCTGAGAGATAGTGGAGGCTCATAAGCATCCACATACAGACATTGTACAGGAGAAGCTCGAAAAGCACCAGTGCACAAACGTAGTGCTTGATGGTGGATTGGATCCAGCATCCGAAGAGTAGATTCTCGCGCAGAGCCATAAACAATGCAACCGTAGTCCAGCATAGAGCAAACAAGGCCCTATAAATCCTAAGCATAGAGACTTTGTCTGCTGCCCAGGGTGAGCAGCATAGTACTTTTAAAAGTTTAGAGATTTTAAACATCTACTCTTCAGGTTGCGCAAGTGTGGCAAAAATGTCAGTTTTTGGTCGAAACAAACACCCAAAAACTTAGCTTCATTCACCATTAGAATTTTATCCCCATTTAAATGAATTTAAGGATCCAGGTGCATACCACGCCTTTGGCAAAAGTGGATGCACAATGTCTTCGCTGCATTAAACGTAAAGCCATTGGTCTTAAACCAATCATATATGTGATTTAGAAAAGTTTGAAGTTGTCTCTCAATGAAACTCATATTACTAGACTGGCAGGAGATCTGAAAGTCATCCACATACAAAGAGTGTTTCACATTGGGAGGGAGACACTTAGCTATGCTGTTAATTTTAATTAGAAACAGAGTCACACTCAAAATACAACCTTGAGGTAAACCTTCTTCTTGTGTGATAAAGTGTTGCCCATCCTAACTTGGAATCTTCGATTCTGTAAAAATTTTTTATAAAAATTGCCAAATTACCCCGCAATCTGAATTGGTGTAGATCACAGAGTATCCCATATCGCCAACAGCAATCATAGGCCTTCTCTATGTCAAAAAACACAAACACTAAGTGCTGTTGTCTAACAAACGCTTCGCGTATAGATGTTTCAAGGTTTACCAGGTTATCAGTGGTACTTCTGTTCCTACGAAAACCACTCAGATGTGGTGAAAAGTAGTTCTTTTCCTCTAAGAGATACTGTACATTAGACGTCTGTTTACCATTCTCTCGAAAAGTTTACACAGGCAACTTGTCAGAGAGATTGCTCTGCAATTAGAGGAATTTTTGTGATCTTTACCGGGTTTGGGAATGGAAATAATGATTGATAGCCTCCAAAAGTCGGGAAAAGTAAGTTCTGTCCATATTCTGTTAAACAGATGCAAGAAATTAGAAAGGGAATTGTTTGACAGATTTTTAATCATGCTGTAGTGGATTTTATCCGGGCCTACAGCACTATTCCCCGAGAGAGAGATTGCTGTATGTAATTCAATTCTAGTGAATGACACATTATATTCCTCATTAGATGAGGAGTAAAAGTTTAAACACTGTTTTTCTCTTTGGGCTTTATAAGCCTGAAAATTCCTTGTATACACAATATTGCTGAATGAAGCAGAAAATGTTTCACCCAATAAATCAGCAATACCCTGTATATCGCTGATTATTGTGCCATTACT